AAAAAAAAATTAATAAATAAATAATAAAAAGTGATTCAGCTTCCTCTCCCCTTCCCCCCTCCCGGATTGTCCCTTCCCGGCGCTCCCGGTTGGAGCAGCTCCAACCTCCCGGCAGCTCCCAGGGATATCCCTCCACATCCCGGTGGGAAGGGGGGGTGGATCCCTTGGGAATGGGGGGTGGATCCCCCGGGAAGGGGGGGTGGATCCCCTGGGAATGGGGTGTGAACCCCCCCGGGAATGGCAGCAGGGGCTGGAGGGGGCGAGGCTGGGACCTGTTCCCGCTCCGGACACATCTGGAAATCTGGGAATGCTGCAGCTCCGTGAGGCACATTTGGACCTTGCCAGGGTTTAAAGGATGGGAAAAGAGGGGGAAAACCCCCGTTTCCCAACATTTCTGACCGCCTGGACATGTCACCCCACGGGGTTTCCTTCCCAGCTCTTCCCACAGCTCCCGGCTGGCAAATCCCGCTGGAAACACCGGGATGAGAGCGGCTCTCCAGGGATTTCCTGGCCCCACATCCCGGTGGATCCATCCCTGTGGTGACCCTGGATCTGACCCAGCTCCTTCTTCCCGGCTCCACGTGGCTCCCAAACCACCCCCCACGATTCCACAGGGCCGGAGCCATCCCAGATCCATCCCGGATCCATCCGGCCTTTTCCTTCCCTATCCCTGCTCATTCCTTATTTGTTTTTGGTTTTTTCCAGGGAAGGGAAGCAGAGCTGAAGTTCAGGAGGAGTTTTTTGGGAGCCCTCTGCAAACCCAGCTGGAAAATCCCAGGGATCCACCAGCACCACCAGGATTCAAACACCCGGATTCCTCCAACGACTCGGTGGATCCTGGAAAAGCTCGGCTTTAATTAAGGCTTTTAATTAAACCGGGGGTTTGGAAAAATAATTAAGCTCCAGTTGTTTAATTGGCACGGGGGAGGCTCCGTTTCCAACATTCCCAACTGCCTGTGTCCTCCAGACCTGCACAATTCCAAGTCCCCACGGGGAGGGATGCGGGGAAAGCCGGGATTTGGGACAGGCAGGCGACAGTTCCAGGAAATCTGTTGGGATTCGGAGTCAAACAACCTCCTGGGGGAGATTCCCAGTGGGATCAGACCCAGAAAGGGATGGAGATACAAGTGCTCTGCCCGGCAAGGATCGGGAAAAGCTTGGGAAGAGCTGTGGGAGCCAAGGAAGGAGCAAGGAAAGGGCAAGGAAGGATTTGTGTCCCCATTAAATGACATTTTAAATGTTTTCCCTCCTGTCCTGCTCCATAAAACTCCAGTTCCATGCCCAGCTCCGGCAAAACCCTCCGGATTGGCACCTGGAATGCCACCCTTCCCAGAAAAACCCCGGCATGGGAGTGTGGAGGGATGGGAGCTCTCCACGTCCCGGCATTCCCGGGAACGCTCCGGGGCCAAGGGCCGGGAGCAGCTCCCGCTTCCCGCCTTCCAGGAGCTCTCCCAGCTCCAAATTCCCGACTTCCCAGGGCTCTCCCAGGCAGGGCAGGGTAATGATTAATTCCAGCCACTTCAGCTCCTGGAAAACAGGGACTGGCAGAGCTGGTTTGTCCGGCGCCGACGGCGCTCCCGGGGCGAGAAATCCCGGAGCGAGATATGGAATAACCTGGCCCGGAGGGGATGGTTTTCCTCCCCAAGCTTTTCCCTAAAATAAAAAGCCCCAGGATCCTGCAGCAGGGAGGATTCACAACCTGTCTGGGAAGAGGGTCGTGGAGTTATGGAATGGGGTGGGATGGGTTGGGAAGGGCACCTTAAGGATCACCCAGTTCCCAAGGGACACTTCCCGCTATCCCAGGTTGCTCCAACCCGGCCTTGGACACTTCCAGGG